ATTTGTCATGTAAAATGGACCATAAAACATGTATTACACGCGGACTGGTGTTTGATTCATCTTTGATTGAATCGATTGGATTGAATCAAACAAAATTTGTTAAATTAAAAAGGTTTGATTCACCGTCAGGATTGTTTGATTCACAAGCCATGATAGAATCAAACGCATTGGGAATCAGGGTTGATTGAATCAAAAAAAATAATGATCCATGAACTTAAAAAATTGAAGTGAACGAACATCAACAAATATTAACACTACTGCCATTACATGACAACAAAAAGAACACAACAGATACAATACTGTCCCTGATATTTTGTATATTTTATTTTTTAATTGAATCAAAAAAGAATCATTCAAAAAATTTTGGCTGAATCAAACGTGAATCATTCCGTTTATTGTTTTTTGATTCTCTGAATCAAAAGGAATCGATTCACCAATTTTTTTGAATGAATCAAACGGTGATTGAATCAAACAAAAATCAAATGAATCAATGATTGAACCGATCCAAAAAAAGGTGAATAAAAAACCAGTCTGATTACACGACACTTTCATATTGTGACCCCCCAGTGACCTGACCTCTGTGACCTGACCTGGTATCAGTGACCTCAAATAGCAAAATATGTGTTTGAAGAACGTTTCCCCATCAATGATTTTCCATGAAATGCATTTTACTCGATTTTACAACGCATTTCTTGAAATTCCTGTAAACGGTGAAAATTCGACCTTTGACCTGACCTGTGACGTCATCGGTTTGACCTAGGTCAATAAAATTGGGTCACAAGGTAGTTCCCTGATAGGGCTATCCAACACCGTTTGCCGCTTGTCGCTAGTTGCGTGGTTCTCGAGATCTTAGGGGGGGGGGGGGGGGCAAATTGGCCCCCCCAACAGGGCGCGTTGCTCGGCAGAGCCCAACGGGGCGCGGGTTAACACCCGAATATCTTGAGACAAAACAGTACGAACACACCAATAATCTCAAGATATTCACAAACAATCTCAAACAATCACAAACAATATCAAGATATTCGGGTGTTAAAGTTTGACGAAACGCGTCCACACGTGTGCTGTATGTGTTTTTTTTACTCAACATATATCTATCCGGAAGTGTCAGAATACTTTGGACCAAGTAGGCAGCGTGACACTAAAACTGTTTCGCTACATCATTCGAAGAAAATCATCTTTGAGGACCAGCACGATGTGAGGCTCATCAGCATGCGAAACCACCGTGCTGCATCACTCTTATTGACAATCCCTATCAGGACGAAAACAGCCCATGAAGTTTGTGCTATCAAAAGTCAAAAGAAATAAACGTCAGTGGTATGATTCATACTGAAGTTCAGAGTTCGGGCTCTCAGCGTAAATCGAGAACGTGTTTCCCCTTTCCAGTTTTCAGTTTCAGATTAAGTTTTCAGTTTTTCCAGTTTAAAGTTCCCCCCCCCAAAAAAAAATCCTGCTTCAAGTTCAAGACTTCATTCGGTTCGCCATTCTATAGTTAGTGAAACATCCTCCTGGATTTAGTTATATGAGCGCTCCAATATCCGTCCTGTGTCTTTCGAAATGAATGTCAGACCTAAACTGTATTCATTAGAATTTTGTTAAAATAGGATGTTGACGTGGAACTCGAGAAAATACGAACCGTGATATTCATTGGACTATAATCTTACTGGTGTTCAAGAACATCACTTACTTTCATTTCAATGTAGGCCTAAATAAGGCCCGATTTCTCTTTGGAGTTGGTCTAAGCGGAGCTTTCAAATATATTTCAATTGGTAAATGCCTAATATTTAGACGAGCTTTGAATGCTTATGAGCAATAGCACTTACAACGTCAATATAACTTGTAAAAAAAACCCTTCCGTTGGTCACTACTGAAAACAGTGCCAAACGCAGAAAGCAAGCTGTTAGCTGCTATTCCCAGGTCGCTGTGAGTTGCACGGGAAAGCACTTGGGCGTTTTCGGTAGTTTTGACGTTAATTGTTTTGCCTCTTCATTCAAGTATCTCAGAATTTCCAGAAATATTTTGTAGGAGGAGCGAATGTCATTTCATCATTGTGCCTTATCGCTTTCGATACATTTGGGCTTCAAGGAAGAAGTCAGTTAGCCCGCGCATGACTGGGGTATTTTGCATAACGCGAGTGACGGGGGGGGGGGGGTGGGGGGCTCTCCAGAGCCCCCCTCCTATCTCCGAAACTACTTGGCCTATCGTCAAAATTCAAACGGCGTCTGATAGCCCTGAAAAAACTGTCCAGCGAAGCTTATTTTCATTGACCTCGAGGTCACCGATGACGTCACAGGTCAGATCAAAGAAAAAATTATCAGTATTTTTGCTTATTCACAATTTAGGCTCTGACCGCCGGCTGACAAATCCGATCAGGCTCATTTTTGGTTTACGTACTCCTTAATATATGCCATAGATAGTTCAGTACTCCTGAGGGTACTGAACTTTTAAGTCGATTTTTTTTTCAGGTCAAGGTCAGGTCATCCTAGGTCACGAAAATTGTATGTATATCATGTATCGGTCACGTGACGCTTGTTTTTTGGTCCATTTTGCTCCTAGATTTAGAAAACAATGTCGTCTGTGTCATTTGAGGTCATTTTCAGCTGAATTTACCGTTAGTCAGGTCACTTTAAGGTCAGAAAAGGTAAAATTTTGAAAATAACAATTTTTTTTCAACAAAAAAAAAGGTGCCCATCAGATGCAGTTTGAGCTCAGCAACACGATGTTGCCCCTTTATATTGCTGTACGGTCTCAAAAACGTACTAAAAAATGGTTTTGAAAAATATATGATTTATAAAATTTTGACAGTAATGCAAATAACTTGGCTATTTTTGAAGATCTTGGGCTAACACTTGCTAGAGGGGTTTATCAGTGTGTGTTCTATCATATATTCCGGTTAATTTTTTTTTTAAATCAAAACATATTTTCGTTATTATAAATATATTTGTTATTATAAATACGTTTTTCAAAATTTAAATAAAGAATTGAAAATTCGAGATAGCAGTTTGATAGCTACGTGTATTTGTAGTCCACTCATGCAAAGAAACTGGATCTAGCCTTAAAACTGAACTTTTGGGAGCGTTTGCCGTAATTCAATATTTTGCATCAAAATCGGCCGACATGACGTCACTCTGACGGCATTTCCGGCCAAATTATGGTAGCTAGAAAGTTGAAATTTTAACACCAGGTGTCAAATTGATGCCTCTGAAGGTACCGCAAGTTTCGTGTTGATCCGTCAAACGGTTCAGAAGATATTGCCGAAAAACTGGAGGGGGGGGGGGCTCTGTAGAGCCCCCCAGTCATGCGCGGGTCAACACGCCCCTGTTGGGGACCTCAGCCAACTTCGCGATGGTATAGGGGTCCAACGTGGGTCCAACTCTTCGATCCGAGTTATCATTTTTCCCTCGGATCGTTTTTTTTTTAATTATTATTTGACCATACGGTTTATCCCGTATGCTAAAAATGTTAGAAAAGACGCGGGAATAAAAGCAATCGATAGCTCTCCATCAGTGCTTTCAGAAGTATGAGGTATTTTTTGCACTTAGGCAGCTCTGGTCATTTCAGGTCATTAAATGCAAATCTTTGCGAGTTTGACAAATTTTCACAACTGGGTGCGTATCTCTAGAACCAGGCAATAAGTTTTACTAGAGACACTTTAAAGGGATAAAAGCATCTTGAATGTGTTCAGCTCGACGATACGGATTGACAGGTGTGCGACATGACCTTTTCCTGTCTGTTCACGACCTTGAGTAATATTTGCTCAACTTTTTGCTTTTTAATGTTCAATTTTGTTCATTCTACGTATCTCAGGAGAGAAGCTTGATGCCGTTATAATAAACGTAATGGTAACTTGGTGTCCAAAGTTATTTGAAAAAAAAAAAACGTTCCGTAAATCCTCAATTCAAGAGTTTTTCCCTCAAGGTCAGATATCAGAATGTTACCCAGAAGGAGCTGTGAAAGAGCTATCGAATGACCGTGGTGTGGTGCTGTAACTATTCTTTCCCAAGCTCTTCACTGATTTGGCAGAGTGTTGAAACAGGCGAAATTTGATCTTTGATAACTTCTGGTGACCTGACATTTACCCTGACCAATTGACCTAGCTACTTTTTCATGACTTTTGACGCTCTTTCGAACGCCGCTTACCGCGTGTCGCTGCGTGGCCCAGGATGCGAGTTAGACGGGGGGAGGGGGTTCAAACATCCCGACCCGGTGCGTGTTAATACAGTCGTCAGGTTGGCGACGAAATAACAAGATTATGAGCCATCAGTCTGATTTTGAAAGAAGAAGTACCGTAAAGTGGGGCTATTTGAGACAGTGGGGCTATTTGAGACTGTATTTAAAATCGCTATAAAATGAAGATCGTTTGATTTTTATGTGATATTTTTGCTCAGGGAGGTGTGGAATCGAGCAGTAAAAAGCCTGAGCAAAAAATTAAGCATTAATTTCAAGTGGTTTTTCTTTTATAGCAATTTTAAATACTGTCTCAAATAGCCCCACTGTCTCAAATAGCCCCACCTTACGGTACCGCTTTATTTACACTCACAACAGGACGAAGAACATTCTACATATTTGCTAACCACTTTACACACCACTAATGATAACAAATGTTATCGTGCTGAAGTACTTATGAAATCTGCTTCGCAGTTCCACTGGCAATCGTACAAAACAGTTACTCATGTGTATAACCTTTGCACAGAGACGACTACTTTCCCCACCCACTGGACCCCACTTGGAGCCAGAGGCGGATCCAGCTCAGAGTTTTTTTTTTTGCGGGGGGGGGGGGGCAAACCATAACAATCTATCGATTCTTTCCATGCATCGTCAATAGGCGTAATGTTAAAACTATGCCGTTTTGGGGGGGGGGGGGCAAATGCCCATTTTGCCCCCCCCCCCCTGGATCCGCCACTGCTTGGAGCCGGACACCCACCGGACATCCAGTGACGTGTTCGGGGTCCAGCAGCCGTGTGTGTGTGGTTGACGACGGGGCCTGCTTTCCTCTGTTGCAGAGTACAAGAAGAACGACACGCTGATCCCTAAGAACACCTCTCTGGTGGTAAAGCGTGTTCCGGCCACCAATGGAGCACCTGTCAAAAAGTTCTGGTACGTAAAGAGCTTCTGATCTTCGGATGATATAATCATTATTTGACATGGACCATAGCCTTTCATTTGCAGATTAGCCGTCAAATGTCCTGTTCAATCTTGCTCGAAAAAGTGATGGCTTACTATGGTAATTGAAATCGGATAATTTTCGTAGTCACATACAATATACATACATGTGCATGGAGAAATTGGCTTTGTGACGACAACTGATGTTGACTTTGCTGTTACAGGGATCCAAACGCCAACAAGACGCCCACCATTTCGGCGTCGTTCGCTGCTGCCGTGCTGGTGAGTGCGGTCCCGGTCAGTTCGTTGGCCCGTAGGTGGGTCGGTTGGTCGGTCAAACCGGTACCCGGCTGTTCCGCAGCATACTTTCACAGTAAAAACCGTCACGCTCAAGGTTTCCGGTCGGGGCTCTGGTGAAGCAACTTATCAGCTATTCCAGTGCTAAAGAGAAAGCGGAGAGAGCTCTCTCAGCTCTACCTAAAGCTGGAACGGAACATGTTTATCAAAGCAGTTGTAGTTTTTCTCTGGGCGGGAGGAGGGGGGGGGGGTGTCATTTTATCGTATTTTGTTCTTCGTCCAGAAATTGCGCTTTGTAACTGAAAGTGACCTGCACACTCCGGTGATTGGACGGGATGTATGTCCCAGTACGTCGGTGAACCGTAACGTGGCGTCTAACTGCTGCTGTCTGTGTGTGTTTCAGCCGCCACAGATGCCCAGCAGTGACGCGGTCTCCGGCTCGGCTGTGTTCTCGGGGGTGAGTAATGGGCGGCTGAGGTAGGGTGGGGGATAGGACGGGCCCGAGTGGGGACCGTCGGGGACTTCCCGCGTCGACGGACGACGACACTATCAGACACAACCAACTTCCGTCGGACACAGGTTTCACCGTGGCAAGTCATGAAAAGTACTCGGTATTTAAGTTTTGTGGCACAAAACAAATAACCGTCCTCATGGCTGATTACGAGCGAGCGAGCGCAGCGAGCGAAGCGAAGTCTTTTCAATATAACGGAAAAATCTCAGTATGAGCGGCCCGGCCCGGCCCGGCCCGGCCCGGCCTGTAACGCTTTTGAGAGGCTTATATCTCAGCAACCGCTGGACCGATGGGCCTGCGGTCTTTTTTGCTGGGTAGCCCCATCCCTTCTACCCCGTAATTGACTACTTTTGATACATCTCAGTGACCGTGAAAAGTCAAAGGTGTTCAAGCAGTTTTGCAAAAGTAATGATTTTGATAGGCCCATATCTCAGCAGCGGCTTGAGCGATTGTCTTGCGGTAATTTTTATAGTGTAGCTGCATCCCTTCTACCAAAGGTCGGATACTCTTGATCTATGTGAGTGACCCCCACTGCACGTGCAAAATACAAAAAGAAGAGGTGCCAAATTTGTTCCCATTTCAGTAACTCGGTAATTACTGGGGCGATTTCGCTGAAACTTGGCATACAGGTAGGCACCCACCAGGCAATGCATTCCCATGTGTTGCGGTTAGGGTGCTACTGCACGTGCGCACGTGCAGGGGGCGTTTCCAGATCTCGAGAACGGCTGGGCCGATTGAGCTCAAATTTGGTACACGGTTGGAGACCGGTTAGTAGGGTGCAGTGCAAAAGTCATTTTGGACCCCATTTGCACGTGCGCACGTGCAGAATGCCGCTTCCAGATCTCAGGAACGGCTGGGCCGATTGCGTTCAAATTGGGCACACCGCTAGCGACCGGTTAGAAGGGTGCTTTGCACATGCCCGTTGGAAGTACCCTCTCGCCCTTCGCCACGTGCAGGGCTCACTATCTCGCTCGCTCGCTGTTCGCCCAAAAGGCGTTTTACTGGTTGTATTGTCTGTGAGATATAAATACATGCGAGCTGCCAATCTTCTACATCAACGTTTTCATTTACATGTGCGTTTTCGCTTTGACAGAGTGATCTCACCAAGATTGGCGGCTCAGAGGAGGACAAGATCAAGCACATGATGAGTCAGTCGACCAGCCAGTACGACCCTTCCAGGTAAGAAACCCCGAATACCCGTAAGGTGTCGGTAGAAGCTGTGATTTATCGTTTTTGCTGACTGTTCGAGTCGCAGAATTTCGTGTATGCTCAGTCATTTCGCCACCACTTTATCGTGTGTTACGTAACTGGAGTTGCGCCGGCCGTCGGTCACCACGTGTGGCTGGCGGCCGGCGCCTGGCGCGGACTGAACACTGTGTCTGTGACTGTTTGTGACTGAACACTGTGCCTCCTGTCCGACAGATACGTCAAGTACAAGGGCGCCCATTTGCTGACGCCGGCGCCCTCCAGCCACAAGTGCTACCGCTGCTTCAACTTCGGCCACTACGCACAAAACTGTCCGCTCGCGGCGGTAAGTATATACCGTCCAATCGGACTCGTAGCCGGGTGCCCGTATATCAGCAGCGTTTTGCCCGCCGTGGCCGTGGGTGCAGATACGATATTTTTTTTTTTACTACTGACTTAATAAACTACAGGCCGGCAGTGCTCGTGCGCTGCCTTGGATAGGAATTGGAGCTGATGTATTGCTTGGACGGGGCAGTTCGCCTTTACGCTGTGCAGGAGTCGTGCTCTGGAAGTTCAACATTTCGTAAAAGCTGGGAGTCCCCAAACAAAGAAACTTACTTATTCCACCTCTGGCATCTGCCGGGCCACAGACCACTGTAAATATATATGACGCCAAGTCCTAGTCCAATGCCTAGTCCTAGTGAATGTGAACTTTCATTGAACTAGCTTTTGTTTTGGTTCTTTATAGTTTGAACTCGTTTGCATGTTATTCTCCTTTGTTTCTCATTGGCCGCCTGTCTGACCCCGTGTGCTCCTGTCCCCGCAGGCGGAGGTCAAGAAGGCCACCGGCATCCCGCGCAGTTTCATGGTGCCCGTCAACGACCCCAAGATGCCGGGCGCCATGATAGCGCCCGACGGCAGTCTGGCTGTACACAGGGTCGACTAGTGAGTACCGCGATCGACCGGCGCTCGTCGCCGGGCGACGCTGTCGCAGAGTGTTTTGTGATGTGTTTTCGTCGTGTCACTCTTTATAAATGTCTTTGGGAAGTTTTTTTTTCGCCAACGCTGGCGTTTGATATAGCATTCCTAGTCCATTTGTTGCCAATGTCACGTAGCGCTGGCATAAGCCAGGGCGTCAAGTCGTTCATTCAAAATTCAAGGATTCTCTGATAAATGGGATTGATACAAGTAGTTGCTGGAGGTTGTTAGAGGAATATCCTAGATTTGGTAGGGCTTTAGCGTGGTAGTTTGTTTAACTTATTTGAATGCCAAGGAAGGTATCTTATATTTTATGGAAACTGGCTGACGAAATGTTTCATAATTAATTCAGAAGCCCAAGTAACGAGGCGAGTTTTTTTCTGACTTTGCTAAATTAATTAGTAGACTCTATTATTTGTCCTTGGGGAGCTCTAAGTTTAAGTTAATTTATCGTACGCTATTTTAGTATTTACTGTTGTTGAGCGGGCCAGCCTTAGTCACCATACGCCCGAGTTTGTCATCTAACAGCACCCGTTCGTTTCCGTCCTCGTCAGCTCCACGTACAAGGATAAACAGCAGGGTCGGATGGACACGCCGCCTCCGAGCACGCGTCCCCAGGTGCCCGACGACCTCTGCTGCAAGGTCTGCAAGGACCTGATCCGCGAGGCCGTCATGTCGCCGTGCTGCGGCGAAAACTTCTGCGACGAATGTAAGTGTTGTAGTGTGTTTGAGGGAGCGTATGTGACGAGTGTTTTGTGTCGGGTGATTGGCCGGGTGTGGTGAGTGCATGACTCGTATGACGGTATTGTTTTATTTCGACTGACGGACGCGAAGGGACAGGCATAAGTTTGGTGGACAAGCCTGCGTTTTGTTGTGCTTTTGTTAACAACAGGACTGCTTTCGGTACTGACACGATCAGTCTATAAATATTTCATTTATATATTTCATCATTATACATTTCCTTAGGATCAATTTGCTTGTAATGTAAGCCCTTAATCGCGCGTTCATTGAGCTGTACACCCACAAAATTGGACTCGGGAGTCGGGAAATTGTAAAACAACCGGTCTGACTGCCCTACTGACACTATGTAGAGTAACCCCTCCCTGCCGCAACAGTAAGTGCCAGACCCGCCGCCGGTTTGTGGACGTCCGACACTATCACCCCGTTATAACCCCCTACCTCTGCCTTCCCTCAGGTCTGCGCACGGCGCTGGTCGAGTCGGAGAACAGCGAATGCCCCGAGTGCCACCAGACGGACGTCTCGCCGGATAACATCATCCCCAACAGATTCATCCGGAAACGCGTCGTCAAGTTCGAGTGAGTACCGCGCCACGGCCTTCCGCATTCCGATATTAGACAGCGGAGTAATTGCTAAACTTAACACACTAAGCTGCACTAAGTAAGTCCTGCTAGAATGATAGTTTCCAGCGCTGCTTGTCTTATTTATAATCAAACATGTGTATTCGTTGGATATCTTGGGTGGCCGGTGATGTAGCATTGTCCTGCTGCCGGTGTTTACCGGTCCCAGTGAGCTGTGGTAATGTACCATTGTCTTTCTGCCGGTGTTTACCGGTCCCAGTGAGCTGTGGTAATGTACCATTGTCCTTCTGCCGGTGTTTACCGGTCCCAGTGAGCTGTGGTAATGTACCATTGTCCTTCTGCCGGTGTTTACCGGTCCCAGTGAGCTGTGGTAATGTACCATTGTCCTTCTGCCGGTGTTTACCGGTCCCAGTGAGCTGTGGTAATGTACCATTGTCCTTCTGCCGGTGTTTACCGGTCCCAGTGAGCTGTGGTAATGCACCATTGTCCTGCCGGTGTTTACCGGTCCCAGTGAGCTGTGGTAATGTACCATTGTCCTGCTGCCGGTGTCTGCCGGTCCCAGTGAGCTGTGGTAATGTACCATTGTCCTTCTGCCGGTGTTTACCGGTCCCAGTGAGCTGTGGTAATGTACCATTGTCCTTCTGCCGGTGTTTACCGGTCCCAGTGAGCTGTGCTGACCGCGGCCGTCCCCCGCCAGAAAGGAGACTGACTACTGGGAGGTGGCGGCCCGGGAGCGGGAGGCGGCCGCCGCGGCGCCGCCGGCTGCCGGGACACCCCCACCGGCCGCGGCCACCCCGCCACCGGCCGAACTGCCGCCGGCTGTGGAGCCGCCGGCCGCCCCCGCCCCCGCTCCCGCTCCCGCTCCGGCTCCCGCTCCGGCTCCGGAGGTCGCCGCCGCCTTCCAGACGCCGCCAAAAGAGCCGATTCAGGTGAGGAGCGATACACTGGTGGACTGTAACTGGAGGAAATTGATGGGGCTGTGACATTCGTGTTTTTGGATCCGTTGGAAGTTCATGCTACGAACGTCTTATTTTAACGTCCAATTAATTTTCGGTAATACCCATTTGGAACTATCATCTAAGCGGACGATAGATGTTCACAGCGAAAGACGATCTGATTTATTGCTGAAGCCACTAATTATGTGCATGTTTCGTTTCTGTTCATTATCAGTAACGTGCCTCCGTTGGTTCGTGTTTCAGGCGTCGCCGGTGAGACAGTCTCAGCCGCGCTCTCCGTCTCCGTCTCCGGCGTCTCCGCCGCCGCCGCCGCCGCTGCCAGAGAAGGTCCGAGACCGCGAGAGGGAGCGAGTCGCCTCGCCGGCCGGCGGCAGCCCGCAGCGGCCGGCCTCGCCGCCCCCGGCGCGCCGGCCGCCGGCGCGTGCCGCCGCTCTCTCGCCGCCTCCGCACCGCTCGACACGATCTCCTCGCTCAGGTAACGGTATGGACGGCTGGCAGCGGCCGCCCGCGCCGCTGCGCCGCGCCCTCCCGAGCCCCGGCGCCGGCCGCACCCGCCGGCCGTCTCTGACGCCGCCGTCGCGCCGCCCGGCAGACGCCTCCTGCGCCGACGCCGAGCTGGAGCTCATCTCCCCGTCCCGCATCCTGTCCGGCTCCTGTGACTCCTGTCCGCCGTCGCCGGCCGGCGCCGCCCGGTCGCCGCCGCCTGCTGCCGCCGCCACGGCGTCCTGTGAGTACCGGTGGCCGCCCGCGGTGGCCGGCCCGCCGGCGCGGTCGCCCGGCGCCACCTGCCGACCGGCCGGCCGGCCGCTCTGTGAGCCGTACCGTATGTGTGTGCACGCCTAGCGCCGGCCACTGAGGCCGGTGGCATCTCTGGTGCCGAGCTCGTAGATGTAGATGAATATGTGTCTTGCTCGTTGCTGATTTGAGAGCGTCGATTGAAATGTGTGGATTCCTTGCCGCTGTGATATAATCGTAATCCGTCTGTGATAGGGGGATATAGTCCTGTGATAGAGGGGTCGGCAGTGCCGACTGGCTGTGGCTGGCGGGCGCCGAGATGTGCACCGATCAGAGCCAATAAACGTCTGGGTGTGACGTGTTTGCCATCGGTCCTGCTGCGTGGCGCGAACGGCCCGGCGTGCGTCCGGCTGCAGGCGCCTTCGACTGCGCTCTACACCTCTCAAGAAGGGTCTCAACGGGAGTTAGCTGAGAGGATTTAGCGAGCCCTTTGTCCGTTCGAAGTCGAGGCGATTTTTTCGTAAATCGTGCGCAGGAAGAAAACAAACGGCGGGCTTATTTTCGGAGAACATTTTATGATACACCGGGCATGCCATTCACTAGGCACACAGGTGGTTATCCGTTATCCGCAGCTTTTGTGCACCTTGCATCTTCAACTTTCACAATAGTTCACGTGAAAAAATAATGAAGTCAAAATGAAGTGTTTCTGAGCGCCCTTCGGCGATCTTTGAGGGCAATACCGGCTTCTGAGGGCCTTCGTCATTCTTCGATGGGCCACACGTCAGCCTGAGGGCCCTTCCCCGCCTCAGATTGATCAACGCTGGTCTGAGGGCCCCACCTAGGTTCTTGAGGGCCCCTATCGCTTTTTTAGCCCGCTCTGACTTCTTAAGGCCTCATGTCGAGGGCCCCGCATATGCCTTTGGTGAACCACATGGGTCTCCGTGGGGTCCACGCCTGAGGGCCCCCGCCCTCTTAGGACCTACGTCAGCCTTTTACCCAGCCAGCGAAATTGGTCTGGGCCGCATCTGGTTGTACTCTGGGTAGATTCGGCAATTACCCCGGCTGAAGTACGGGTAAGGTCTGGAGCTCTACTGGAGCTGACACACGATCCCGGAGCTCGCCCACAACACAGCCGGACTTATGCCGCATCAGCCGCAGGGATGCGGAGCCGTGGAAATTTCAGACAGCTCCGGCTCCGGCTCTGGCTTTGGAGAAAAAATCGGCTCCGGCTCCGGGCAAAATGTGTCGGCCCCGGCGGCTCCGGCTCCAGCTCCGGCTCCGGCTCCGCACCTCTGATCAGCCGTGCCGTGCCTCAATCGTACTTCAGTCACAATAACCTAGCCCGCGCCCCGCTGGGGGGGGGGGGCAGAATCTGCCCCCCCCCCTCCCGTTTTTCGCCAATAACTTCTAAACGCGTTACGCCAGCGACGTCAAACTTTCAGTACCTTATCATACATCAATTTGACACGTTCCCTGAAAATTTGAACGAAATCCGTCGGAAAATTTTTGAGAAATTGACGTTTTAGTGACGTCATGTTCGCCATTTTCGCCTAAAAAACGGCAAAATTTCAAACGCCGCTAACATCTTCATTTTTAAAGGAATCAAGACGTAACATAAAAGGTTATACGTGATTCCACGTTGTCTATCAAATGGCTATCTCGGTTTTTTGAAAATTTTGGATTTTGGCCCAAAATTTTTCAAAAAACTGATTTTTTTGGAAAAATAGTTATAAAATCCAAAATTTTGAGTGTATCGAAAAAACCGGAATATATATCAGAGAAGTGGTCAATGTGCATCTACATACCAATTTTCAGAAGAATCGGTTCAAAAATGTGGGAGTTATTCAAAATTTTATGACGTCACGACACACAAATTTTTTGAAAAATGATTTTTTTGGAAGCTCTAGACCTCGTACGGAAACAAAAATAGCACCATTCGATTCGCCGTGAAAAACTGCATCAGATAGACACCTTTTTGGGCCTTAACAACCAACTTCAAAATTTGATCTCACTTGACCTGACCTTGACCTGACCTCGACCTGAAATTCATCCAGAGGTGGTCCATATCACTTATTGAGTGTGCCTATTGAATTCTATGAGTAAAATGAACCATAAAACATGTGTCGCACATGTCCTTTTCTATATTTTGTTTTTGGTGACCTGACCTGACCTGACCTGACCTTGACCTTGACCTTTGAATGACATTGTATGCAACGAATATTGTCTTGGTAGTCTAAGAACACGTTTTGGGCAATCAGTCTCAGTCCATTCTTCGGCAACTACGGTGCAAGGCCGATACTGTAGAAACTTGCATTTTGTACCCTTGACCTGACCTTGACCTGACCTCTGACCTACTTAAGCAAAAAATTTTGGGCTCTTAAGATCCGCCTTGTTGAGAGCTTTCGATTGCCGTTTTCCCCGTCTTTCTACGACCATCGGTTCGGAAGTTAGACAGGGGGGGCAGAATCTGCCCCCCCCCCCCAGCAGGGCGCGTATGGCTGAATAGCCCAGCGGGGCGCGGGCTAGGGTAGCTACGAGGCAGCCGGACCTGGCCGTAGCACGCCTTGGCAGGGAGCCGGTCTTTATCCAGACTTGGCGGTCCGAAACCATACCAACTCCGGAGCGCTACGGCAAAGGCTGGCTAACCGGAACAGAGCCATATCGACGCAAACCCCCTGTTATGACGGCGTTCCGTTTACACTGCCCCAACTCTGGCATGTCGGAGCTGCCGGGGCAAAACGGACTTGAGCCGAACCAAATTGCTGGCTGGGTAGAGGCCATGCCGCTAACCTTTCAAACGGTATTTTTTCAAGTCTGATGGCGGGGAACCAGAGACCCTTAGTGGTAAGCGTAGCCCCTCAGGGACCCCATGCTGGCTTTATATGGCCCAGTTGCCAGTTATCACTTGTGAGGCGCGTTCCGGACACCACCCAGCTGGGCCTACGGTCACCCACAACGGGAGCATGCTCCAATAGGAGCTATTCTCACATAACGGTAGCTGCCCAGCCAGGCACCAGGTGTTGCATGGTGGCCGTGGGGATGACAATGGAAGGCATTTGAGCATGCCCCGAGGATGGGCACAACATATTAACACGCGCCCTGGTGTTGGTGAGGGGGGGGGGGGCTATTTTTCGCCCCCCCTCCAGATTTTTCGATACCTATATCTCCAGAACCGCGGCGCCGGTCGTCACCAAACTTTCAGTACCCTCCCGGGCATCAATTTTACACATGGCGACCAAAAATATTTTCTAAAGGTTATGATAGTTTGATCGCAAGAGTGACGTCATGTTTTGTCATTTTCGAACCAAAAAAAAAAAAATGTTTCGCGGGAAGAGTCGTGAGGCCTAGCTTTGAAGATACATAAAAATGTTTAAGTCATAAAAGGTGTAGAATTACCAGGGCTACTAAACCGCTGTCTCGAAATTTTGAAATTTTTGGATTTTGACCCTATAAAATCAAAACAATTTTTTCGGCCAAGCTATAGCTAAAAAACTTCAAAATTGATTCCGTCAAATTTTCAAGCTCAATTTTAGCAATCCTAGACAACGTAGCGCAAAACAAAGACCACCATTAGACTCGCCGTGACGAGCTGCATCGAATCAATACCCATTATATGCAAAAATATCAACTTTGAAATTTGACCTAATGTGACCTTTTGACCTTTAAATTTGGTCTTTGACTCAGCAAGGGTGGGGGATTGGGGGTGAGGCATACCCCCTGGCCTAAAGGTTTCTCCCCCCAAAAAATATTGGGTTTCGACTTTTTATTGCTGTCTGCATTCCAGTTTAAAGAAAGTTTTTGTGGATTCGTACTACTGCTGAAAGCGAAGACACTTCTTTATTGCAGCACTATATTATTCCTCGCCGTGCTGAGGGCGTTTTTGCACCCCGTACTTACTCAGTTTCTTATGCCGGCTACTCAAACTATCATCAAACTATCAGTACCTACCTGTTGGGGCATAATGTCTCCAGCATGTGCTAAAATTTCAAGCTCAGGTCATGTAAGGTCAGGTCAATAGGTCACTTGGATTCACCCAACCTCAGATAAATATTGCAGTCTCACCGCAGCGAGAGTTGTGAACAGATCAAGCTGGAAACTTTCAGGGTCTCATTAGCTATTGCTTACATTCTGTGTGTCTACTTTTTATTGTTGTCCTAAAGTCAGGTCAGTTTTGCCACCTCCCCATCATAAGTAAACGGGGGGAGGGGGATTTAACTGCTTCTTTTGGACGAAAGTCCAAAAGCACTCTTACAATTAGGCTGGAGACTTCCAGTTTGCGGTTAACTCGCGTTTATTTTGGTGGCTAACTTCCTTACACGCGTGTAGCTGCCCACCAACTTTTACCCGGGGACTTCCATCCGCGGTTAACTGGTGGGTAGCTACACGCGTGTAAATATTTAAATGCCGACTTACACGCCAGTTTAAAGGGCTTCCCGATCAGCTGATCGGGATGCGGCGATCAGCTGGTCCAACGAACAAGTGCGTAATTCCGTTATTTATGGGACCGGTGGCCCCCAATCAGCGTTTTTACACATGCAATGAGTACAGCCGTAACAATGGGATGTGGTGATGCATTAACCTAACCAGAACAGCGTTTGAAGCCGTGCCAATCAGCATCAATAATGCTAATCGCCTTGTGTTATTTCACTCTGTATGGCCGACCGCCAGTCTACTGCATGATCTTGCAACAGCCGTATCTCAGATTACTCGTCTGCCCTCGTCGGTTCGTCTCCGTCACCCCCCGTCCCCACCCCGCCCCGTCACTTCACCGGTGAGGCGTCGTCGGTGTCCAATTCAATGCCACACAAAGGACGATTATTACCGAGTGATCAGTTTAATATGTGCGTGTCGCGGGGGTGGCTGACGTTCCAACGGCGCAGGATCCGGTCCACCACCAGTGCCCATTTGCTGCCGTTTAAACCGCTAATGGTTCTTTTTGGCCGTCCTTTTCATATCTCTCCAGAGCTGTGTCAGCTGTTTCTAGTCCCATTTTTCTTCTGACCTTGCATTACAGGCTGTAACAATGTTCTTCCAAGACCGTTTTCGTTCTTCATTACTCCTTCCATCGTGTCGCTTATTTTCGATGACTTTTACTTCAGTGTTCATGACATCGGCTAACAAATGCATGTCTCTACTACTGAAATTTCTGCTCCTCTTCTTCCTGTCCATGGTTGTTGACCGGACACTCGTATTGTTTCCACTGAGCTGGTCCTCGCCCCACTGACACGTAACGCGAAGTGCGACGACAGGGGCCCGACACTAGCCGGCTGGCTCGACGATCACATTATTTCGGATGCGATACGAATCCCATCTCACTATCCCGAAGATTACGAAATAGCAGCTGGTGGCAAGGAGAT